TAACTCCCAAAAATTTCACGAAATTAAGTAATACATGATCAATAAAAGAATGAGAAATTTCCAAAAAAAGTCCTTACAATTCCCAATTAATTTCTGCAAAACCTATATGAAGTAATTTCTCGAGAATCCCAAAAATCCCTATAACTCCCAAAAATTTCACGAAATTAAGTAATACATGATCAATAAAAGAATGAGAAATTTCCAAAAAAGTCCTTACAATTCCCAATTAATCTCTACAAAACCTATATGAGGGAATTTCACGACAATCCCAAAAATCCCTATAACTCCCAAAAATTTCACGAAATTAGGTAATACATAATCAATAAAAGAATGAAGAATTTCCAAAAAAAATCCTTACAATTCCCTATTAATTTCTGCAAAACCTATATGAGGCAAATTCCCGACAATCCAAAAAATCCCTATAACTCCCAAAAATTTCACGAAATTAATTAATACATGATCAATAAAAGAACGAGAAATTTCCAAAAAAAATCCCTACAATTCCCAATTCATTTCTACAAAACCTATTCAATTGTGTCAATTAAATGTGTACAATGTGTACAATATTTTGCCCAAAGAGCTCTAATATTTAGTTAGATTCTCAAAAATCACAAAGAATCGTACTAAAGTCTCCAAAAAACATAGACCAACAATACATAAATTCTTTTTCCACATTTATTTTTGTCAAGTTTCCCAACTTGATGTAGGAAATATAAAACTGTTAGATATGTTAATGTATGATCTCTTTTGTTTAGAAACAATAATAAAAAAAACATTAAAACTCCTAACAATCCCAAAAACTCTCTAAAACTTTGACAAATCCCAAATTCCTTCAAAAAAAATCCTAAACAGGTGACAATAATGTTCGGTACACTTTTTTATGTTGAATTAGACGAATTCTTCCAGGGTATTATTAAAAATTATTAAAAACCTTTGAAAATTCATGAAAATCCTCATTGTAATACAGTTACATTAACAAAAAATACTTATTTTGTATTTACGGTCCGTAAACCCGTAAATAATAAAAAAATAAGTAAAACATAAAACAAACAAAAGAAAAGTATTTCGATAACGTTGACATAAAGATTTATTAAAAAAAAAATTCTAGTTTGTACTTTTAAAATTGGAGAAAATCTCTATAAATTTTTAAAAATTGCTAAAAACCTTTAGGAATCGTGAATCAGGAATAAATAAAGAAAATTTTTATAATGCATACTCGTATATTCTAAAAATGCTCTAATATTTAGTTAAATTCTCAAAAATCCCAAAAAATCGCACTAAAGTCTCCAAAAAACACAGACCAACAATACATAAATTCTTTTTGCATATTTATTTCAAGTTTCCCAACTTGATATAGGAAATAACTTTTTAAGGATGTCCAAAACAGAATTATAGCTTAATTACTAACGTATTATAGTAGTTCTATACAAGTTTGTCAAACTCGCACTTTTATAAGAATCACTATGTAGATGAGTGTATTTGCTAAACTTTGACAATGACAGTGCCAATGTCAAAAAAAACGGAAATTATGTTATTTGAGTACTAGGAATGAGATTTATTTTTGTCAAGTTTACCAACTTGATATAGGAAATATAAAAATGTTAGACGTGCTACTTTATGACTTTTTTAAGGATGTCTAAAAAATAATTACAGCTTAATTATTAACATAATAATATTATAGTGATTCAATTTAAATTCGTCAAGTTTACCAACTTGATGTACAAAATATACAGGGTGTTTTAAAATGATTTTCGTCTAGTCGCCTATGAAATTTCAATGTAAAATAAAAAATGCCGCTTTAAAAAATATTGAAACTAATTAACCTTAAATGTTTTATTTTAAATGATAGCTGTCACTGTTGACAGAACTATCAGATTCAAAAAGAGTAGAGCGGCACAGAAAAATTTACATGTAAAGAAATTCTACAGGCGACATGTTTGTTTTAGGGATGTCCAAGACATAATACACCTTTATTATAGTGGTTGTATTCAAGTTCGTTAGACTCGCATTTTTATAAGAATCACCCTGTAGATGAGTGTATCTTATCGACCTTTTGTTTTAAGTGGATTCCCAGTCGTGACAGTGCCAAATGTCAAAGAAATCGTGAATTTGTGAATGTGAAGGATGTTACACCCAGTGGCGTAACAAGGAAGAGGGCGGTTTAAAAATTACAATTAAATAACGTGGCGTATAAATGTGTGAAATAAATTTTATTCAAATGTTTATTAATTTTGTCGGCTTTGTTGAGTCGATTAGCATGCACAATACATTTGTCACGCTTATTGTCCGCATAATTTTCATCAAATTGCCATTTGAAAATGAGACAAATGATCGAAAATTTGTTCAAAGTTGGCAAGCCAACGAACGAAGAATTGCTAAGTGGGGGGTAATTATATACCCCTGCATGGTTGTAATCTTGTAATTTATTTGTTTAYGATGGAGATGAGGTAAGGATAACCTTGGCAAGGCCATCGGCGAGTTGCGTTCGCTCACCTGCGACTAGGTATCTAGGCAGGTTTATTTATAGTCCAGTTACATACAATTTTTCTGATAAAAAGGGATAAACGACTTTTATATAAGGTACCGCAATGGGACTAAGAAATTAGCATAATATGTATTTCATTCTTTGAACAAAAAAAATTATTGCTACAAGTGGAAATGAGAAATTCTCTCAAAAAATCCTCCATCCAAAATTTGCTCATTCACAAAAATTTTACAAGGCATTTTAAAATCTTTACATAAATAATATCTCCTAACAATCCCAAAAATTGCTCAAAAATCCCCATAATTCCCTAATATTTACAACAAAGCCTATTAAATTAGGTACTTTAGTTGTTTTATTTCAAAAATAAAAATAAAAATTCTTTTCAAAAGATTCTTCAAAAAATCCCAAAAATGTGACAGTAATGTTACGGTGCACTTTTTCATGTTTTAAATTAGACGAATTCGTCCAGAGTATTGTAAAAATAGTTAAAATCTTTCAAAATTCATGAAAATCACCATACAGTAACATTAACAAAAATTACTTCAATAATTACTAGGAGTAGGTATTTATCTATTACTCGTAAATGATAAAAAAATTAAGTCAAAAATAAGGCAAAGAAAAGAAAAATATTTCGATAATGATAAAATTCCCTTTAACAAGTTTATAAAAATTAAATTACCAATTTCTACTTAAGTTAGAATAACTCTGTAAATCTTCAAAAATGGTTAAATATTTTTAGAAATCGTGTATAAGATAAATCTTCGAAAAATCACTATTTCTCCTCTTTTGTTTAGAAACAGTAATAATAAAAACATTAAAAATCTTAATTCCGTAAAAAGTCCTTAACAATCCCAAAAATTCTCTAAAACTTTGACAAATCCCACAAAATCATTAAAATTCTTTCAAAAAAAATCCCAAACAGGTGACAATAATGTTCGGTACACCTTTTATGTTTAGTTTAGAATTCTTTCAGGTTATTTTTACAAATTATAAAAAAATTGAAATTTCATGAAAATCCTCATTGTAATACAGTTACACTAACAAAGAATACTTATTTTGTATTTACGGTCCGTAAACTCGTAAATAATAAAAAAATAAGTAAAACATAAAGTAGAGAAAAGAAAATTATTTCGATAACGTTAACGATAAAAGTTTCTATAGCAATTTTTTTTTAAATAAAATTACTAGTTTGTACTTTTGAATTGGAAAAAATCTCTATAAATTCTTAAAAATTGCTAAAAAGCTTTAGGAATCGTGAATCATAAATAAAGAAAATTTTTATAATACATACATGTATTCTAAAAATTATTTTTTCTCGCCTTTTGTTTAGAAACTACATATTAAAAAAACAACAATAAATAAAAAAAC